CCCATTGTGACGTCTGAGAGGTTTTTCTGGTGTTCTCTTCCCAATAACAGCCATTACAGCAGCAGGTCATCAGACTCCACCAAGAGCTCGGGAGACAGAAGACTCTGTGGGCTGATGTTCATGCAAAACTCCGGAGTCGTATAGATGCTTTGAGGAAGCAGAACGTGGAGCTCCAAGAAAAGCTGAGATCTCTGCAGCTGCGGCAGTGGGAAGCCAGGCAGAAATCTGCAGCGTCCCCACATGCGGGGCAAGAATCACGCGCTCCGGTACCAAAAGTGCATTTATGTTTTTGTACCATTTGCATTATGTGAAAATAGCGTCCCCGTAAAGATGTGGGCTTTATTGCTGAGTGACGTGGTATCGCTCACGCTCCGGGTGGTGGGCGGGGTTGCTCACTTCCAATCAGCTTCATTTCCCGTAAGTAATGATTAATAAGAATTGGATACATCAGGCGTCTCCCCTGGCACTCCAGCAGACAGAAGCATTGCCGCCCCCGGGCTGTGTGTCTCAAGTCTAGAATTCTAAGACATCTCCGGACAACAGCAGCAAACCCTTCCTGTGGACTTTACATGGGCTAGATACAGAGCTGTATGGTCTTACTCTCTATGACGACCCTACGAAATGGATACTAAAACTAACTCCATCGTGGCCCCGGGCTGGAGAACATGGAGCTGGGATTTGAACCCAGGGTGACTGCAGAGCCAACTCAGTAGCCTGGTGTCCTTCTTTTCATCCTCTAGGGCAGCTGTGTAGAATGCAATAGAGACCTGTTGAAACGGGAAAAGTTCCCTTGTCCCCCTCACAGGGTGTGCGATGGGGGTGTGGCTCGCTTCTTTGGTTCTCCACTGCTCAAACCTCTAGGGGAACATACAGACCGGCAGGCTGTGGGGCTCTGACCCCAAGGCGGTGTCTAGGGGTGAAAGTTTCCAGCTGAAGCGCCAGTGGGTGTGTGTTACAGGGCGGGTGCTCTTTGGTTTAGCCGTCTGTAGGCAGTTTGTGTTTATCGGCTCAATTAGACCCTCTGGCTTATCACATGGACAGAGGGCTTCTGTGTCCTGGGTTCTTGCCTTGGTGTACCTGAAAAATCAGATCACATGTAGGCTTGGAGGATGGGTGCAAGGTTTTTTATTGAGTGGTGATAGCTCTCAGCAGATGGGGGAGCCAGAAGGGAGATGGAGTGGGAAGGCGGTTTTCCCCTTGGGGTTGGGCTGCCCAGCGGCTGGGCTCTCCTCCCACCACCCCGAGCAAACGCTGTGTCATTCCACCAGTCAACGCCCTGTTGGTGTCTGCTGTGTCTGCTGGTGTGCTCTTCGGCCGGTGTGTTCTTCTCGACAACCAGCCACTTGTGTCTCTGCCTGCTAGGGTCTCGGGGTTTTTATAGGCATAGGATGGGAGTGTGGCAGGCCAGGGTGGTCTTGGGAAAGGCAACATTTGGGCCCGAAAGCAGAAATGCCTGGGTCCGTGGGCACAGGCCTAGGGGTGGAGCCCTAGCCAGGGACCCGTCCTTCTCTACCCAGGACTTTCCTGCCCCCATCCTGTATCACTACCCTGCTCTATCCCAAACGGAGAACCAGCATTCTCATGCTGAAGTAGTCGGTGCTTCCCAGCACCAGCCTGCCTTTACAGAACACTGAGCTTTCATGTTTGATCACATGGCTCAAAGAACCAGCCTAAGAGAGTGTGAATGTGGCCAGTGTTACCACTGCCTTGTCTGGATCCTGTTTCTCGCACATGGGTCTAAGCAACTTGAATCATTAAAATTATACGTACAGGTAACAACACATGGAACCACGCGAACACCCTCCAAATGTAAGTGGGGATATTTCTTAGTGGATTAAGAAAAGTACTAACATTTCCTAGCTGCACTTCTTGTGTGAACTTTTAAATCGGTACTTCCAGAACTTAGAATATTTCCGATACAGCACAGTGATTACAACACACACACACACACACACACACACACACACGCACCCACTGAATATATTCCAGAGGAGCCTGCTTTGTGTTCTGTTCTCCAAGCACAGCGAGAACAGCCACAAGTTCCTCTACAAGAAATGACGGGAAATCTTGGAAGTTATTCCCACTCTTTGGGAGCTCTGCGAGAGCTTTGTTCCCATGGAGATGGCTTCTGTTGCCTCAGAAAGAAAGTGGGTTTAGCCTCTCAGCACAGCAAAGCGCGCAGTCCTTCTGTGGAAGGACGAGCAGAAGCTGGGCAGGCTGTTCCTCCATCAGAGGAAGAGAGGGGGACATTGCCACAAATACTGGCCAGGATTATCCACCTTCTGTGGGGAAACCCAAGAAGACCCACAGGGACTTTTCCCTGCATATATTGTATGCCAGTTCCTAAAAATTAGTATCTACTGCCCCATTTGGGTCATTGTATGTTGGGAGAAATGTAACCATGACAATTACCCCAAGAGTCAATGAAGTCTTACTCAGTCTGCACATGCCCTACAGTTTTTGATCATTCTCTTATTTCGAGATCAGAGCTTGGTGAATTTCCAAATATTTTTCCATTCTGTGCACTGTACTGGTCACCATGGAGCTCTTCATAAGAACAGGACCTACGCTCACAAGAGCACACCTGATCTGAAGAAAGAGGATGGGATATGTGAATCCCACACTTTAAATATGCGTAGGTGTAGCTGTGTGTAGTTGCAGTTTTAGGGACTGAATATCTAAAAGGCTGAGGCGTGAGCACCCACGGAACG